ATTTTAAGCCTAAAAGACTATGTGGACCCTTTACATACGTTGGCCCCGGGTACGTGGCCCCTCTTAATCCGAGCTTGCCTATTCCATCTGTGATCAGCTGTCATCACTCATCATATAACATATTATAACATATTATTAGGAGTCAGGAGAACTACGATATATACACACGCATTTGTTGTCTTCGTCTTGTAAGTGCGTACATAATACATAGAAAATAACGATCAGTACCTAATTCACGTTTGGCTTTGTTAGTTTAAAAATTATAATGATTCGACCTATTGGCTATTATGAAACTTGATGGTAAGGCCGGGGCTATAGACTGCGTATTCCACCGCGTTTCGAACGCCGCGTTTTCTGTAGCGTTTTCCGTTGAATTAAAAATGCATTGGTTTATATCAGAGCAGCCAGTGGCGTGTCCAAGGTATTATTTTGGAGCAATTGCTCCTTCAAAATTGTTGGTTGATAGGTGGTCCCCCTGCCACAAAATACCTAGCTACCTAGGTTACTAGGTATACCATAGAAATATCATATCCGATTATACAAATCGTTACAAATGTATGCATATTTTGTAAATTTTAAATTTTTTAAGAGTTGGAAATGCCGTTATAAACATCAAGGAGTGGGTGGGTATCTTGTTTACGCCGCGGATGAACATTATTTATTGTTTGTTTATGTGATTTAATTATAAAATTCTAGTATATATTGTAGCCGCCACGGCCCATGACTCATGAGTATAATATTAATATTATTATTATTAAATATTAAAACTGGGCACTAATAGTATTTATACATTACTGTCATTAATATTTGCGGCTTGCGCTACCCGCATCCTCAACAGTTGATAAACGATTCCGAGTTGTCGACATGCCGTTTACCCAACGACCCGCAATCGTGTGTATAATAATATCATTGTTTTGTGACCGCAACTATGGTTAGATAATAACTGGTTATGTAATATTTTATATTTATTATATTATTTTTAATTTTATATTATTATTATCAAAATTCAATCGACGGACGACGATTGCAAACGCAAAGTGCATGAGTGACCCTGCCCGCGAGTAACGACTAACGTAGACCTCTGTACTCTGTAGTCTGTTCCAGTGTTGAGTGTCTGTTGAGTTGTACTTAATTGTGTTAAGCGTAAAGTAATACCATACCGCGCAACGTTTAATTGAAGGTAAGTTCATTGTTCATAATATATTTAGCTTAAAATATGGACGTTTTACTTTAGCTACTGGCAACTGGCAGCTTACGCGTAGGTATAGTTATAGTGCGGCCAGCGAAACTAGAAGCTTGACTGTCACGCTCCCGGTGGCCATTTTTCATTAGGGCTACGAAGAATGGTTTCCCGCGTATAATAATTTCAAACACTTGTTATACGTGCGCGTATCGTATATTTATACGCGTGGCTATGAAACGGGTCTTTACTTTAAAGGCATAACAATTTATACTTCTGTATAACACATTTTTTATTAATTTATTATCAAATTTTCAAACATAAAATAATAATAGTAACATTTAAAATATTTACAATTATTTACGAAATTTAATAATAAACATAAAAATCTATTCATCGTCATCGTCATCATCGTCGCTTGAACTGCTGTCGTCTGGATAAATTGTTAAAATTATTGGCTCTAATATTTCGTCCCTCAGTCCTGCTTTGTGGAAATCCTCCTCTTGAATTTTCACGCAATGTTCTCCACATTTGGCCCAATCATCAGCAGTTACCGCATCAATTTCTTTATGAACGAGTGCCTCAACATCAGCAATTTTAAATGTTGAGTTTTTTTCAGCCACTCTCCCTTTAAATTGTGCCCAAATCAATTCTATGGGATTATACTGACAGTGGTAAGGTGGAAGTCTCACCACTTCATGCCCCATTTGGTGTGTCAATTCATCCAACTTATAAATTTTTCCACGCGGCATCGCAAGTTTGACTTTCGCCCGTAATTCGTCAAGAGTTTCGACGGGAGAAAAGTCTATATTTTTGCCACGCAACCATTGCTGAACATCCGTTTTTTTACTATTTGACTTCGGGTAGTCTTCGAGTAATGCAGAATGGTATGACGCGTTGTCCATTACAATGATACTGGGCTCCTCCAAATTCATCAACATTTGCAAATACCACTTTTCAAAAATTGTAGCATTCATCTGTGAATGATAATCTTTGGTATTGCCAGAGTTACAACGAAAAATTAATTTTGCGTCTTTGACAAAACCAAAGGAAGGAGACCCAGCGTGACAAACAATAAGGCGACTGCCTTTCCCTGTAGGTACTTTTAAGCCCTCTGTATTCTCCTGGTTTTGCCAAATATGTCCCCGAGTATGATTTTGGTTAACCCAGGTCTCGTCTAAATAGACTATTGGCCGAATATCACCATTTGTACGAAGCTCGTTCATTTTACGTAAAAATTTTACGCGCGCAGCTACTATGTCCGACCGTTCCATAAGAAATTTGCGACCGTCGTTACACCTTTTGTACTTAAAATTAAGTTTTTTCAAAATAATTTTTACCGATGATTTCGACCCCCGGTAATCAGTTTTTTCTCGCAATGCTGCTAAAATTTTTGCGCTTGTTGGAAATTCTCCTTTATCATAAAAGCTGTGAACCACTTCTAACCACTTCACTGTCGAAATCGTCAAGATTGGTGACAGGTTTGTCACGACTATAACGTTTTCTAGGTGATCGAAATTTAATATCCGTAGAACTTCCGGTACCTAACTCTTCTTCATCACCCAAAGATATAGTTTTGCTTTCCTTACAAATTCTCTGTACAGTAGACCGACTTACCCCACAAGCCTCAGCCGTCCTCTCTTGACATAATCGGAAAAAATTTGCTACTTCCGGCTGGTCTTTTTTACTGGCCAACGTTTTAAAAAAATTGTACACGTTGTATATGGTTTTTTTGGTTTGTGAATGAATATCTGGCCGGGTCGACATTTCAAATAAACAATATACGCATAAAAATAATGAAAAACCGCAAAAAAAAACAAAAATGTACAAACAAACAATATGTAACAGCTGTACAAGAAATTCGTAACAAACTCAATTCAAATTATAACAACCAGCACACACAAAAAACATGTTACACGAAGCAAAGAAGTCCAGTGACTAATATACAGATCATACAACATATGGTTTAATGGTTAGAGGTTTGTATTAAAATCTAAAGGTATTCGGCATGGGACGGTCACACAATAGCATTATACGTTATAGGGCATGGGCTATTGTACATTTTCGGAGGGTACTCAAAATTGTTTATAAAACAGCTATAACAGCTTCAACGCTTGTCTGCATCCTTAGAAAAAAATATAAAACTAACCTAACATATCCACTATAATAAAAAATATTCATTTCGATAAAAAGATCGCGCAGCTGCACAAACAACCTAAATATTTAGAACCCCTGGCTTTCACGAAAACGGTCACCGGGAGCGTGACAGTCAAGCTTCTAGTTTCGCTGGCCGCACTATAGTATAGCATGTTGAATAGTAGAAAACGCTATACTTGCGCCTTATTATAGTACAATAATATAAATTATATTTACTAATATTATTATCCACCCCAGGCCAAAATATCGCTTTTCCAAATAGGTAATTTTTTGTTCTTAAAATATTATTACTAAAAGGATTTTATAAAGGATAACGAATAACCCGGCTAGGTAGGTATATTATAATATGTATATGTATTCAATCAGTTACTATTATCATCTAACCAAAACCAAGTCAAAGAATTTCAACTGACGTATCATAACTTAAATATTGTATTAATAAAAGCCATTCAAAAAGGAGATGATTCATCTTCTCTAACCCAATACCAGCTAGTATTTAGGTATATTGAAAATATTCTAAATATAATATAATCAATGATATAGGTATGATTTTTAATTGCAGCATATAAATACATAGTACCTAAATGGTTATACCTAGCTACAATACTCCCTTATGTTGGAAGGGTTAAGTTTTAAAGATAATTTTAAAAATAATTAAACTGTATGTACCTAATACCTATACTTACAATAAAAACGTAAAGCTCATCGCATATATTACATTTACATTTTATAATTAATATGATTAAACCATTTTTCCATTTTTAATGACTAAATAACTAATACCTAGGTACCGTTGAGTATATTATATTTCATTTATCTACATACTAAAGTACTCAATACTAATATACTAACAACAAAACATTCTTGACACGCTCACAAATTTCATATTTATTTGTTAATTTTTGTACCTATAGTGTTGATCGGTTAATATTTGTAATTATTTTTATTTAACAATAAATACCAAAAATAAGTTTGTATTAATTTATTTGTTAATAGAAATTAATTAAAACAAAAATAGTTTTAATTTAGGTATAGAATAAAAATAACATCTCAAACTTTAATCATATAGAAGTAAAAACAATTAAATTTAACAAAATATGTTATAGAACAAAAAACCAAAAATAATACTTATTAAAAATCACCGCTTTAACTACTTATGATATTAATAAATGTATACGTTTTTTAGGAATTTTAATTTGTAGTAGGTATTATGTCTAGTGAAAGAACTAAGAGACGTAGGATCAGGGAAGAGGTTGATTTTATTTTATATGAAACAGAAAGTTATACTAATAGTAACAGTTATTTTGAAAATAAGAGTACATCAGATTCTGTTGCAGAACTAGTACTAACAGAGGGTGCCGTTCAATTACCAGCTAATACTTCAGAAAAGTATTCAAATAGAAATGAAAAAAATACTGACTCTCTTGAAACATCAGATGAAACATTATCTATTCATAATGATATTAATAATTATTATCATGATGAACAACTTCCTATAGTGCATACTGACCTATGCTCAGAAATTAAATGTAAATTAGCTGAATGGGCAGTTAATTTTAATATACCCCAAAATGCAGTAAATGGACTGTTACCTATTTTTAAAAGTATACCTGGCCTTGCAGAAATTCCGAAAGATGCAAGAACAATATTAAACATTAGAGCCATGGATTCTACTGAAAGTATCCATGCTGTCGATCCAGGGTTTTATCATCATTTTGGTTTAGGTTTGGCTCTAAAACAACATTTTAAGTATAGTCCAATAGATAATATTGAAGTCATTAAAGTAGTGATTGGAATTGACGGATTACCCTTAGCCAAAAGTAGTAGTAGTCAATTATGGCCTATTCTTGGTTATGTACGCCCACTAAAGAATAAAGTTTTTCCTATCGGCATATATTGGGGTTATGAAAAACCAAAAGATTCAAATGAATTTTTAAGAAAATTTGTCGATGAATCCAAAATATTGACCAATTGTGGTATAACTATTGATGGTATTACTAAACAAGTTCAAATAGACGGTTTTAGCTTAGATGCTCCAGCAAAAAGTTTTATTTTAAAGATAAAGGGACATTCTGGATTTGATTCTTGTACCCGCTGTACAGTAGAAGGGGAGTACTTAAAAAACAGAACTTGTTTTCCTTATTCTTCTACTATGATAAAACGTTCTCACATTGATTATATTAATAGAAACTATGAAGAACATCATGTTGAAAATTCAATTTCTATATTGGAAGAATTGCCTATTAATATTATTAGCTCATTTGGTCTCGATTACATGCATTTGACCTGTCTTGGTATTATGCGCAAATTATTACATTTATGGGTTGCCAAAGGTCCTTTAAATGTAAGATTACCAAGCTCAGTATCCAAGCAATTATCTTCATCACTTTTGTCATTAAGACCCTTCATACCATGTGAATTTTCCCGAAAACCAAGAGGATTAAATGATTTAAATCGATTCAAAGCTACCGAATTACGACAAATATTAGTTTATACGGGTCAAGTTGTTTTTAAAAATATTTTAAATAACAATTGCTATAAACACTTTATGGCATTAAGTATAGCTATGAATATTTTATTAACTAGCAACATGGGCAACTATGTAAAATATGCTCAAAATTTATTATACTACTTTGTTCAAACTTTTGAAACTTTATATGGAAAACATTTTATGTCTTTTAATGTTCATGGGCTAGTTCATATTAGTGATGACTATGAAAGATTTGGACCTTTAGATAATATTGCAGCTTTTCCATTCGAGAATTATTTAAAAAGTTTAAAAAAAATGATACGTAAACACGACAAACCACTTCAACAAATTATAAGGCGATGTAATGAAAGACATTTTATTGAAGGAAAAACATCTGAACAACATTTGAAAAACTGTGAACAATTAAAACATAAACACACTGATGGACCACTTTTAGAAAATCTTATAGGATTTCAATATAAAAAGTTATACTTAAAAAATATTAAAATTAAAGTTGGAAACAATGCTGACTCGTTTATATTAAATGATTCTAATGATATAATAAAAGTTGAAAATATAGTAAGCTTACATAAGACAAATGAAATTGTTATTATTGGAAAAGTATTTGAAATTAAAAAACCTTTTTATGAAAAGCCTATTCCATCAATTGTATTAAACATTTATGAAGTTAATAACCTGTCGCTAACTCATAAATACTGGTCTTATAATTGTATTAAAAATAAAATGATGTTATTGGAATTGAATGGACAAAAGATAGCCATTCCAATTATTCATGATATTGATGGACAGTAATTAATATTTTTTTTTTTAAGGTGAATATAGCAAAACTATTTAAATACTCTGATTTTTACAAACTAGTAATATATATTTTAAAATACAAAACTTATCACTAAGTAATCAACTAAAAATTATAATAAAATTACCTTACCCTAACTTATATTTTTTTTCATAAAATGGTGGCTAAGTTGACTTGAATATTAGGTAACAGATCTAATATTGAACTATACTGTCTCAAATAATATGTGGGTATATATATTATAATGCCTTTGTTAAACAATTAACTTATTTTACTAAAATATATTTAAATATTTTTTTTTAATTATTAAGCGTATACCTAACTAGTATTTTTAGTAGTGTTGTGAATAAATGTTTAAATGTAAATTTATATTCATATTTCAGATTTGTAAATATTGTATATTATATTTTTAATTTATCATGCCGTGGACTATTGTATGTTTTGAAGAGGAAAACTGCGTCGAAATAGTGCCTGATTATTGGTTTAAAAATGGTTGTTGTGCGTGGCCAAAAAAGAGTATAAAAAATTATAAAAAATTTGTTGATCGCCGTATTGAACCTAATGAAATAGATTTTGACTATTTCAAGGCAAGGTCCATGTCTCACAATATTGGTAAGGACTATAACCAATTATTTACCTGGTTTCACTGTTTTAATGTTAATATTATTATTTTAGTTAGTTTACATGATGCACGGGCAAAACTAAAAATTGCTGAAGAAACATCAGAATTATCTACTTTTGAAAATGAAAAGTCAACTCGAAGTGAACGGCACCGTCAACCTGATTACTCTTATAACATTAAACATAAAGAAAAAACTAAGATGCCAAAGCAGTCAAGAAATAGAAATTTTAATGATTCTGAAGGAATTTCTATTGGAGATCCTCCTGTACTCAACAGTAGTGATGGTAATACATTTTTTTATATTTTTATTTGCTTCATAAATGTTTGATTAATTTATAGTTTGGTGGAAAAGTTAGTGACTGAATATGTGTTATATAATATTTTCAATGAACAAAATCCTCAGTATAGAAAAAAATTAATTTTTTAATTTTTCTAAAGATTTGTTATTTATAATTTATAGTGGTACCTTATAATGGAGAGAATTTTAGTGACTATGATGACAGTGATGCAGACAAAAATTATATTCCTGATAATTATAATAAAAATCATCATTCAGGTATAAAATTAAATGCATGATACTTTACTTTTATGTATTTTCATATAAAATTATATCATTCGTTTTTATTCTTCTAAAATAAACTGGTTGTGGGTTTATACTAAAGCTAAGACATTTCTTACCTGCAAGGATGTAATATAGGTGTATATATATATATATATATACACCTATATTACATCCTTGCAGGTAATTTTACTACTACTTATTCTAAATAAACAAAATTTGGGCATTGAATATTTTGCTGTTATATCTAATAATAAAAAGTGTCCTTGAAATTAAGATGGTTGTAGAATTTATGGATTGTTGCAATTATACTACTTGTTAGAACATGTAACTTATGTTTTTTTTTTTAGTTCTATTAGTATGTTGTTTATATTATTAAATAGTGAATAAAAAGTTATAATTAAAATAATTTGTTTTGATTTATTATAGGTGATGTAGTAGATGATGATAATGTATTAAATTCTCCATCAGGGAAATGGAATGTATCTAAAATAGATAATAATACCATGATAGTTGGAACCAGTAAAAAAAGACTTGATTTTACTAATACACATACACTCAGTATATCCAAATCATCAATTAATAAATCACCAAATTATTCGCCAAGTCTAAGAAAACTAAAAAAAGGTAAGAATTACTTATTAAAATATAATATAAACATTTTATTAAATTGTCCATGTTATTCAATTTAGTAACAAAGAGTCTTTTTTATATGTTTCTATTTCAAGTTCCATCTAACTCAACATCAAACTTTGAAATTATTACAAATGAAGAGAGACGAGACGGAAACTCCAAATCACTATTATCTTTGCCTAATAGTAATAGTAAAAAAATTAGAAATAACGGATACTTTGAATCACATTTGTCATCTCTCACAAGTAACTATTATTTTTAATTTAAAATATATTTATGATAAAGTGTATTTCTATTGTAGTTTTTAAATAATAATCTAACCTTAGTGATAAAGTTCCTTTAATTTGCTTCTAAAATTTTAAACTGTTAAATTATTAATATACATAATTAATATTATGTTTAGTACCCTTCAAGTTATTTTGTTATATTGTGAATTAAATAATATTTCTAATTTTACAGGTGACAATAATATGAATAAGAATGTCTCAAATTCTGAAACAGGAAACAATTACTCGACACTTATAGGTAAACAATATCTTATATCTATAAACATTCTATCGTCTATTTTTCTTCATAATAGTATATTATAACACCTATATAATATCCTAATATGTTAATATTTATTATATGTCTATCATTGTATTTATTATATTATATTATAATATTATGTTTATCTAAATATGTTACTAATTATCATACTTTGTAGACGTTGTAAATCAACTGGTACGCTCAACTGGAAATCTTAAATATGAAATAAGAGAACCGAGTAAAAAAATCGACTCTTCAGAAAACACCATGATGAATATTGCAGACAATTGTCATTCTATTCCACGTTCCAACAATGCAGATAATAATTACATAGAAGATGATGTGTATTGCTTTCCATTAACAACAATTGAAGAATTAAACACTTTTGAAGAAAAGCTGTCTTCTGACAATATATTTTGTAAAAAAATGGTAAAAAATAGATTATAATATTATAATAGCAGTAAATAATGTTCTTAAATTCTTATTTCAATAATTGTATTTATTGATAACATATTTATGTAGTTTAATATTAATATATAAAATATGTACTAATATGCCGGATTGCATAAACAATTAATAAACTTAAGTTGAAAATCAATAGTTAGCTAATATGGTTCCTTAAAACTGATGTAGTACATTACATTTTAGTGAGCCTCAAATTAATCAATTTTTTGTACAACCCGGCATGAAATTCTCAATGCATGTAAAGAAATTTAAATAAATTATATACCTACATAAAATATTTATTTTCTCATATTGAATAATACAGATCAGTGAATTGTCAAGATTAGAAAGATCAACTATTTCAGAAACAACTAGACAAATCATGTCTAAAATATTTCATGACAATTTGCTTACACAGTTCTCGTACCAAGGCCAAAAGAAAAAAAACGAGTGTTCTCTATACTAAAAACATGCTCTATTATATTTAGTAAGAATTCCATTGGTTATCTTAATAATTGAACTAATTATAATTAATCAATTTCAGGTACTATAAGAAGTATTAGAAAATATAACAATTGTCCAGAGATAGATGTATTGAAGCCAATGAAAGTGTATATGGCCAATGCTAAAAGCCGGGAAGATGGAAAACAAAAAAAAATCAATGACAATCAGGCACCGCAATTATCTACATAATAAAAATGATAAAAAATAAAATTGAAATAATTTTATTTATAAAATGCATAACAGATTTTATGTATTATTATAACAGTATATTAAATAATATTTTATAGGTACATAAATATTAATAAAGATGACAAATTATTTTAAACATTTTTGACTATATATTAATAAAACACCTTTCCTAACTTTCCTAATCATAAAGTATTGATAAAATGCTATAATATATATTAATTTATATGTATTATTAGCATTTTAGCATTCGTCATATAGGTAAAAAAAAAAATAGTTTTAGAAAGGTATATTGATATTACTACTTAAAAACATATATAATATATATAATAAATATTTTTAAATTATCAGCTATAAAATAATATGATATATCTAAAATATTTTGACAAAATATATTTTTATTTTTACAGTAATATATTTATAAAATGTAATCACAATATCTCACAAATGATTCTAAAATTATTTCAGAAATATCAAACCCGCGGCCAAAATATATTTTGTACATATATTGAATATATCTTATTATCTTCTAAACACCATCTAAAGTTGTTTTAAAAATATTTGTAGTTTGTGAATGATATTTTAAAAATAAGTAGAATTCATATTATTGCTATGTGGGCATAGCCATATAAGAATCTACTTAAAAATAAATAGAAATAAATAGAAATCTAGAAAAAAACATACGACAAAAGTTATTAAAATGACATGAATAATAAATAATTTAAGAAATATATTTTATTTATTTATTCCTTAAAAATATTGATATTTAAAAAAATGATTGTAAAAAATAAACTATTTCACTTAATAAACATTTTTACCTCCAAAATTAGACAAAGTATTAAAAAATGTTAAACTGTACTTGTAGCACAAGCATTTATAAATGATATACATACATATTATACATATTTTACATATAAAAAAAAGTGGTAAAATATTGATTAGAACCAAAGTTATTTCATGTGTTAGGTTATTATGTTACACTTAGTTACTACTTATGTTCATTAAATTTTAATTAATTTATGTTGAGTTGTGGACATGTCAAGTGTTAATATTTTTTATTAGATGTGAACATACCCAAATTCTGCAAATATTTGCATTACGGAAATTTGTCTATATTCTAATGAAACTATTGATAACTAATGTGTTCATTACCTTTTATAAATTATTACCTTTTTTTACATAATGAGATAAGTCAGAAGTAGATGAATTTGGGAGTGATTCCTATTAATTATTATTAGATTTAAGTTTATTTAGAATTTTATATATTTATTTAGACTGTTATACCTACATTTATTTAATAAGTAAATTTTTAGGTAAAAATAACTGTTACCGATTTGTTTTTATCATTGACACCACTTTTTTTATCCTCACAAGTCAACAATTTTTGTTTAAGCAAGTTCTAAAAAATAAAAGCAAATACTTTTTAGTATACATGTATAATGTGCCGCCTACTTATACTAATGTAGAGTATTCTGACATGATAGAAATGTTTTATACTAGTGGTAAAAGTACAGTTCAAA